AACCAATGTCCACAAGCACTTGTCAGCCATAAATAATTGTTTGAAAAGACAGACTGGATACAGAAAGCCCACAATAGGAAACGGACAAAGACATACAGACGAGGAGCCACACGCAACACGGGTCCACTCTTCAGCGCCATGTTCCATTCAAATACTGACCACGTTCTTCCATCCATCCCTTTCCTAACTGGAATGATATTATGTTTTAACAGAGAAGCTGTTAGTCCATGCATCCATTTTCTAACTGCTTTACCCAATGCAGGGTCATGGGAGAGCCAGAGCATATCCCAACAAGCAACAAGCACAAGGCAGGGTACACCATGGACAGGACACCAGTCTCTCTCAGGGCATACACAGACACAGACACGCTCACACCAGTACTAATTTACAGAAGCCAATTAACTTGCCAGAAGGTGTTTGGGTTGTGGGAGGAAACTGGAGCATCCTGAGAAAACCCCTGGGAACATGGGGAGAACATCCACACAGATGGCACTCCAGGTCCACAATTGAGCCCAGGGCTCCAGTTCTGCGAGGCAGTGATGCTAACCACTGCACCAGCATGCCACCCCCTAGACCTACTGCTTGTTCTTCTTTATTTATATTCTATTCAAAGCAATGCACGCGCCTTTATTCTTGTACTTAATGTTGCACTATTTAACTTATTGCATTTCTCTGATTTTAATGTTTCTGCTATACAGAACATGGTGTACGTATTGAAGTCCTGAAGTACTGGCAGGTTGATCAATAAAGATTCCAGTTCCAGTGCAAGAGAAGGAGTGCTAACTCCAGTGTGCTGTTCCACTCTGGTGAACCAGTTTCTAACTGCTCTGCCTGATCTGCTGGGCATTAGGCTGCTGCTCTTGGGCGGATGAGCATACTGAGTTAATAAACCAGAATGAATAACCTGTGAAAAATCTGACGCTGACTGTCTGGTAGAGATTTCATGAGAGAGATGCATGGGGGTTCACTAAACAATTCAAATACGACATAACTCTTCAGCTTCCCCAGGTTCACACATCACATTTTCTCCACTGCTCATTTCTGTTTGCATGCTACACATGGTCTCCCAGTGTTCCTCCTACACGAGCCTGTGCAAACTAATCTGCACAGGCAGCATGCAGGAGCAGGAGGCCTCTGCATCTAGTGCAGACCATATTGATTAAAAAACAAAATCCATGCAATTTGCAATTTAGATAAATACCAGAGTCTGGAGTTCAACAGGAATGAGACAACGTGTGACCCCACTCTTTCTTTTCCCATATGTCTGCCACTGTTCCATTGAGTCAGAATTCTCCCAGCACTAAAATCATCAAGCCCAAAGCTCAAAACTATTTATTACAATATACTCTCCAAGATGCTGTGGTAAGCATGCACTGAAAATAACTAGGAAGAGAAACTGGTAGATGAATCATGCTTTTATAGAGGATTCGTGCAGTGCAGTGCAGGTTTAAATTCCTCATTCTAATCAGAATCAATTGAATGCAGTGGATGGAGATGAACGAGATTTTTTGTTTGGAAATGTGAAAGTGCATGAGTCAGTCTATTTTTGGAAACAGTCCTCAAAACGTTACCTAAAACATTTTTAAGCCATCACATTTAGACACATACAATAAACAAACATTGCCTTCTTTATGAAATGCAGGTGATAGTTCATTATTTTTTAGGATTACCTACAGTCTGTCCTACTGCTGAAGCACAAAGAGAAAAACACATGACAAACCATAGCTGTTAACATGAACAAGCCTTAGAATAAAAGAAAATCTATGACATTTTACTACAAACAAAACTGTGATTGTTTCGTATAAAGAGGTTATGATTTCAAAGTGGCCTTTAAGTTCAAACTTAAACCCATGCAAATTTATCAGACTGTAGCGTTGTGCATACTGTATATAGAATGAAAGTGTTTACACAAAAGTGGGTATGACTACCATCACAGTCATAATCCATGTACCACGAAACCTTTTGAGGAAAGCAAATCTAAACCTTCTCCACATAGCAAAAGTAAATTTGCAAAGCTGCAGTCACCATCTTTACAAACCAATTCTCATTTTCACTTAAATCGGGACACATTTTAAATCTATACTAATCAGTCTTTGTTGAATAAAGAATTTGGAATTATGAAAACAAAAATATTTGTTCAGCTTCCCCAGGTTTACATACTGCTTTTCCACTGATGAGCTGCTTGTTTCTGTCTTGAACAGTACTGTCAAAGTTTACTAGCTTCCCAGTGTGCTCAATTTTGATCAGAGTACAAGACATTTTCTACAACTGAATTTCTAGCCATTTAAAATTCTATAATGCCCTGTATGAATTGAGTTTACATGTTTTCTATGATTTCCTAGTTTCTTCTAATAGTGGTGAAGTATCTCTTCGCCACTGGTGTCCTGCTATTTCTCCTGAACTTTACAGTTATGAAAAACAAAGATAAACAGCTCTATACATATTGCCATAATTGATTCATTCTTACAGCAAAACCTTCACAAGCCCAGAATTAAACTTTACACCCTTATTTGACAACATTCTAACATGCTTGCATTCAGGTATTAAAATGTTCATGGAAGTATTGAAAAACAAAAGAAGAAAAGAAGGGATTGCAACTCAGAAAAATCTAATATCAACCAAGCAATTGAGAAAATAATTACACCCACCTGTTCTTTTATTGATGAAAATAATTAATGTGATAACGGAGAAAGTCAGATCTGTATCTCTCTGCAGTGAAAGCACCCCTCTTCTCTCTCCAACAAAAGAGAAGCCTTTCTTCTGCTCTGCCGCTCTCTTGCAATGTTATCAGCCTTTGAAAATGTTCCTGAGGGAGAAACAGTGGGGTTACAGCCCCTGTGACATCATTGTTATCTGCCAGTTCTGCCTTCTGTTACACATGATTCCTTAAGAGAGACATTTCCATTTGCTAAACCCAGCAAATATGTCAGAATACCAATTTACTGCCTTCCCTGTAAATTAACGGAGTCTGCAGCCTGGAGTTTAAGGTGATTTGTGCTATTTAGAGACCATTTCTACCTGTGTGAAGCAATTTAGTTCCACATGCTGCTGACCTTTTTTAAAAAAAAATTATCTCAAAACAAAAATCAAGATGGACATAATAAAGACTAAATGTATTCAGTTTCTCCACGGGTAACACATAGCTTTATTTTTTTCTCTCAGGCTTCACATTATCATCAATATGATACATCCTTTCAAATATATAAGTTTAACATAATGGATTAAAATAGTCAATGAAAACATTTCAGTCCCATAATATATAAATAGAGCTGATACAGCAGTATTTTGCAAATATTATTCAAAATGTTCTCATTTAATCAATCCCAGTTAGATAACTACTATATTTTCATTGTGATTTCAAAAGAAGAATTGCAGTTGCACCAGGAGCAGAGACTGCAAAGCAACACTAAGGCAGAGCAGATTCTTCTCAGTACAGTTCATCCAGCCACAACATGTGCTCAAACTAGGTAAATTAGTGTCTCCTCTTTTCATGTTGCCACGAAAGGTCTGCTACATGCTCCAGATTTGAGAGGTCAGCCTCGAATGGTAGCCTTGTAGACAGTGTATCTTGATGACGCTAGGGTTTTCTAAAATATATACATTTTAGATTTAGACCTTAGTCTCTGTCAGTCAGTGCTCTGTCAGAGTACTTTTATGATCTACTGAGAGAGGAACTGATCAGGGAAGATGAGTCATGAAGTATCAGGGCTGGATAGGTAGGTTGGAATCTCTTAATTGCCCCGTTGTGACTGTGTTTGGCCCATGTGAAGATCTGACAACCTGTCAAGGATAGATTTACCTGACGTCCTATGTTTCTGGAATAATTATAAAACCAGGAAGAAGCAGTGCGTGGGATCCATCCATCAGCAGAACAGGTGGAACAGAGATGCACAAAGTGAAGTAAGGATGAACTTGACAATCCCTCATTCAAATGCAGGTATTACATCTTGACCTTAGTCTTTATCACAGGGGTTGTATCTAAACGTTTTTTTTCATTTCTAAACAGATATAAATGTAGCCATTTCCAAAAGAGCTCATTCTATCTGCACACCTTGGTTTAGTTGTACAAAAAGTAGAGACCGGCTTTAATGAAACCTATTGTATGCATTGGTATACAGTACTAAAAATACGAGTTTATTCTTTGCAGGAATTCAGTGCCTGGGGAATATGTTAGGCTTTCAGATTGGCAATATTAGATTTCCTATGACATTTAGCTCTAGAGTAAAAAGATTACTGGACATATGAAACACTTTTCCCACAGGTTTTATGTTCATAGGTTGACACACAAAAAACCTGCTTCATGTTA